AGTGGCTCAAACCCAGCTTCTGAAAAGCCCATCAACCAAAATCTGAGGCCCAGTTCGTTAAAAACCAAAACGCAGTGTTTTGTACTTAGTCAGCAACGGTCTTCTTCCTGCACACAAGACAAAACAGAGATTAGGAATAAAACATTTTACAGAAATCAGAGGATAGAGGACAAGAAAGCTTATCAATGGCTGTCACAATTCAAAACCGTTATGCAGCACTACAAGACGAAGAAGCCTAATGACAAAACTCTATTCTCATTTTACTATAAATGTAACACTCATGATGTAAGAAACGGTTATCCAAAAATAATAAGATAAAAGTTCAGAAAACTTATCTTTGCGGTGTTGCGTTCAGTTCACACATCCAGAACTTTCACAAGGGGAGACTTAGAGAGAGATGATTTTTTATAGTTTTCACTCTTCTTTTTTGTTTATTTCTCTCCTCTGATTTTCACTCTGATGTTAAAGGAGAGAAGAAGAGTGTTTTTTTATTTTGTTTTGTAATTTACGATCATATAGATCGATTTTATTGTATGTTTCAATCCAATCCAGAGTTGATTGTCAACTGTTTCTGTTGTCTCTGTTTTATTGGATTGAACAGAATTAAGTTCTGGTCAGTATACTACTTCCGGCCAATCTCTCTACAGTTGGAAGCGACTATCCTTGATGGATGGAGTAATATCGTGCTTGCTTGTACCGCAGTCCTTAGTGGGCGGTTGAAGATCTTCGGGTTATGGTTACCGAGGACGTGGGCACGCTTCTGTCGGATGTTGATGAAGATTGAAGATAGAAAGGTTGGTGACTGAGGAGAAGCTACTGGGATTAGTACCGGTGTTTGAGCTCCTTTATAAAACATAAGACACCAGATTACTACGACGGAGATGGAAGATGTGGAGGCAAAATGGAAAGGAGCACGGTGGTGCAGCTTCTCGTTGAGCGAACTCGCCGTTTCTTCAGAGGAGACCACGTGTTTTCTAGAGTAATACAAGATTCTCTCCATGGCTGTCCACCGCTTTCACAAACGTATCAAATTGTTTTAATTAAAACTCTCTTGTTGTTGCTTAGGCCTTATTTTAATAGCCTATACCAATGTAAACTTTACCCTTTGGTCTTTTAATGCAATGTTTAGTAACTTAGTAGGACAATATCTACTATGATTAAAAGTTGATAACAAAGCCAAATGAGGCTATCCACGTGGGATGAAATATTCAACCAATCATGAGGCTCTAATTTGCCATGTCAACCAGCTGGTTTTCTTACGTGAAATCGAGAATCCAATTCTAATTTGGTTTGGTTTTTTTTGTGTCTGGTTTGCCCTCAGGCGAAGAATTTTTTTGGTTTATAT